AAAAAAAAAAAAAAAAAAAAAGGTTCCTGGATTTCCATGTGAAGGGATGCTGGACCCGGTTTCCAGCAGGTGCAGCTCCCCACCAATGGAACGGAGCCATCTAATATCGAGGGTGTAGAGGGGATGACTGCTCTTACCAGCACCCCCCCCCACACCCTCGCCGATGTTTCAAGCCAAAAAAAAAAAAAAAGGAAAAACGTTTTCCCCCCCCCTCCTATCCCACCACTACCTCCGCTCCTGTTTTTGCCGAGCCTGATTTTTTTTTTTTTTTTTAGGAGAAGTTGTCACTTTATATTTCAAAAGAAACGTGGTCGAGGCCGGGGACCTCACAATTCTACCCGGTATTAGGGCATCGTTCGACACACCTCGGGGACGTGATTTCAAGGATTTCGTCTTCGTTCCACCTGTCCTCGGAGCCGATTTTCAAAACCGAAATGTGAAAACACTCCGAGGACAAATTGTCGGGCTCCGAGGATTTTCCAGCCAAATCGTCCTCGGCTCCAAGGGACCTCGCGAGGTCCCTCGGAGTCCGAGGATCCGCGATAATCGGGGTGTTGACGGCGAGTCGAAAAGGGAAATTGGTGGTCGGAGGTGGTCCAGTGCTGGTCCTCCGTGTTGAAGACGGACATCGCGAGGCGCCAACGTTCAAAACGTCCACGAACGGCCTCGTCTTTTTACCGTTGTCGGGGATTGGCGGTACATCCCTGTCGGTTCGTCGGGCGGCCCCACGCAAGTGCCATGCCGGGCATCGAACGATTTCGGGCGGGTCATGGAGGTGTCGTAGCGTTACCGCGGGCTGCCGAACGGTCGGAAACACAAATTTCTTTAAGTGTGGCGTGTACGGTGGCTGCAGCAATTTCGTACGTTGTCGTCTTCCCTCGTGCAACGTGTGTCTCCGGTTGCCGCGATCGCGACAGCCAAGTGCGTCCCCTCTCCTTCATGGCTGACCTGTGCCGCAGGCTGCCTTTGTTGCTGCTTGCCGCTGTACTGCTGCTTGCCGTTGTCGTCTTTCATATCTGCATCCTCGGTCGCGTCCCTGGGAGGAATCACAGGCGGCGAACGACGAAGACGACCGGGAAGATGGAGAAGGTGCAGACGAAGAGGACGATGTCTGTAGGGGCTGGAGGGTGGTCACGTCAGCGTTGCAGCTCTGCGGAAGGCGGCAGGCGCCCGTACGACCCGACGCTGTACAGCCACCTGCCGTCCCACGAGATTCCATTGCCTCCGAGTGACCATGACAGCGACAAGCCCCGATCATCAACGGTTCCTCTGGGCAGCGGTTCGACGCAGGATTGGATGGGGAGCCAGCTGTACAGACAGCCCTCGACGCCGACGTACACTAATCTGCTGGAGAGGCGGACCCCGGTTGGTTATGACGGAGGGCTCGTAGACCTCGGCTTCGGCTTGAGGTCTGGGAGTGGCCAGGACGTTACGCACACTGTTCTCGTGAACCCGGGTTCTGCCAGCAACCACACAACGCCTTCGGTGGGGCCGTGTGGCCTTCCTGACACCCGCGGTCGGGGTTCTGGTCAGTCGGGCGACGAACGTGGACTCGTTTCGCAAGGGCGGGCGGCAGTGGGCACAGCAGGTGTTCGCGCGGAGGGGACGAGGACAGGTGGATCGACAATGCCAGGCGACGCAGTCCACCGAGGAGGGGATGACGGTGACGGCTGCGCTGCGGAGGTCGCGGGGCGAGAGGTTTAGGATGATTACCGGCGACAATCGCGTCAACCTAGCACGTCCGACATAACGAGAGGGGTGGCGAAGATCAATGCAAGGGCGGACGACACACCTGGCGATTGCGACGGTGCGGGTGGTGAAGATTTATCGGCAGGCGATGGTGGCAATGACAACGACGACGACGACGACGGGGAGATGGAGATTCGTCCACTGGGGAAGAAACGGGGAGGGCTGAGGGCGACGAGCAAGTCCAGCGAGCCGCGCGCAGGGCGGAGAGGCGAGAAGACTGCGGGAGATGCATCGGCAGGCGACGGAGCGAAAAGCAGGGATTTTTGGACCGTGGAACACATGATTGCTCTTGTCAGAGCTAAAAGAGACCAGGATTTGCATCTTGCTGGCATCGGCCACAACATGGGAAGGATGAAGACGAAGACATGGAAGTGGGCCGACATCGAGAGCAGGCTCGTGCAGATGGGGGTGACGACTAGAAAGGCCGACGACTGCGGGAAAAAATGGGACAACCTGTACATGTAGTTCAAAATTGTGCACAAGTTCATGGGAAAATCGGGGAAGCCTGATTTCTTCACACTGGCGCCGCGGGAGAGAAAGGAGCAGGGGTTCGATTTTCGGATGGACGAGCGTGTGTATTCGGAGATGATGGCCATCTCCAAGGGCGATCACACTATACACCCCACGAATCTGGCGGACACGGGTGCGGCGGGAGGTGTTCAACTGCCAGCCCGGACTGGAGGTCGGAACGAATCAGGCGGTAGTGACGGATGCGGGGATGGGCAGGACGACGATCAGGGATCGACGCGGAATTCAAGTTTCAACGGCGGTGTTGTGGGCGGGTGCGGCAAAAGGAAGAATGTGAGACAACAAACCTTCGACACGATTGCGGACGTCATGAAGGACCACGGGAGTTCGATGACGACGACGGTGGACAGCGCGAGCAAGAGGCAGTGCTCAATTCTGACTAGGCAATGCGACATTCTCGAGCGAGAGCTAGAAGTGCAGACGGAACACTATGTGAAGGCCGACCAGGCGAACCTGCTGATGTGCAACGCCCTTATGGAGATTGCTAAGGTGATCCGCGAACGATCATGAAGTCGATGGGCCGCACATGTCCAACGTCCACGCGAATGCCTCGTGTCTGCTTCTGGATCGTCGGCATTGCCCCCGTACTGCGTGCTGCTGTGCGGTGGTGGAAGAAACTAGTTTACAGAGGACGGCTTGTTTCTACATGCGGTTTCCATAGCAAGAGTCGACTTTTTTTACTAGTTTGAAGGGTGTTGATTGCTGTCATGCTCGTCGGCACGTCAGTCGATTTCAAATGACAACGCCCGATTATTGTTCAATGCCTGTTCACGTGACGTGTTGCAGCTACGCGCGGATTGGGATCCAGCAGCGTTTTCTTCTT